TATATATATATATATATATATATATATATATATAATTGCTAGCAAAGCAATTAATAAAACCTCAATAATTTCTCTCCAAAAGACGTTACAATTCTATTTTTTTTTTCTATATTCTATAAAGAGAGACAAATAATTTAATGTAAAAAAATTTTGGTTCCCACTCTTTATTTAGGGTAATTATGACAAAAACTGTTGCATTTTATATTAATCAAATAATAATTATAGATATTTTTAGCTACTCTATTATATAATAATTATTATTAAAACTAACAAAGTATATTTACACTGAAATTACGAAAATATAAACAATTATATAGTAAATTTTTTAATCAAATTTTTTATTTTAAAATTAATATTATAGTTTATTATCTCATTATGTGGTTATCTTTAGGTAAATTAATTGTTGTTAATGATATAACCAAACCCTTTAAAATAATAATTTTTTTTCAACTGATTAATTGGTCATGATTTCTCAAAATTATAAAACATACATTATTCACAACCTTTTTATCCAATCAATATAGTGTTTCATATGCTGCTAAATAGTTTTGTACTGTTTATTTTTACTAATTTCAAAATTTTAAAATATATTATCATTATATAACTTATAATTTTAATATTATATTTGTACATGTATACAAGATCGAATACTAGTATAAATGGTCGTGGGCCATACAAATTAAATTAGCATGTTATTATGAATAATTCCAATGTTTGGCAACCGCTAATATTTGCCGCCGATCGGTAGTATAAGTTACCATTTAATATGTGTTGGTCATTTTTCAATGATTGCTGTTATTTCCATTGGCACCTTTGAAGATTTTGAAAATTCTTGATAGAATTTTTCAACCATTTTCATTTCTGCGTTTGTGGATATGGATAAAAGCACGGGTAGAAAAACTTGGCTCATCAAAAATTTGATTTTTTCTAGACAATAAATCTAAGGGGCCATTCGAATTAGATCTGAACACTTGTCCCCTCTCGATAGAATTTTTCCTATTGATAGAAAAGTCCCAAATTTTGGTAAAAACCTAATCCTCTAATCCGCGTGCCTTCTCCCAGCAGGGCCTTCGGGCCACCGGATGACGGTGTCCTCCGAGCAGTGCGGTCGAACTCAGAGACGTCGGAAGTGACGGCGATCTTTTCATCGGGCGAGATGGCGGGTCTTCCCCTTGGGTTTCTCCTTCTTGCAGGTTGGTAAGGTCGGTCAGGGTTCGACGTTTTTCTCGAAGTCTAGGTGGTGGTGGACTGCCGGCGTGACTGTGAGTGAAGGCTGTGGCTCCTTTTATTCCCTCGGAGGTAGGCGGGGTGGTAGTCGGGGCTGAGATCAGGGCGGTTTCACTCTTCTCCCTTCTCCCGTTTTGCTATGCTTTTGGGGCCTTTGGGTTGTGTTAGCGGAGTCGGCTCGGGTCTGTGTGGGTCTTGTGTCCTGGACCTGAGTTGTCGGGTCTGGGGAGGTGGAGTATGTTGTGGATCTCTGGTTGCGGGTCTTGAGTCTGTCTACCCGGGCGAGGGTTCGGGTTCTTTAGTCTCAAATTTGGTTAGGCAATTTATCTACAGTTTCTGGATTTGCGGTTTGGACCGGGTCTTGTCCGTGTGGGTAGTTGGCCTTAGGTGTCGGCGGCGTTGGTGTTCGGTTTGTCTTCATTGCTGTGGGGAGGGCTTGAGTGTTAGTTGTTTTGTGTTCTTTTTGTTGTGTTTGTGTTGTGTAGTTAGTGTTGCTTTGTTTTAGGTTTTTTTGTTGTGTGGTGTTAGTATTGTTTGTGTGCGTCAGTGTTTTTTTCTCCTCTTTAGGAGTATGAATTCTCCCGTTGGGGAGTGCGTATTCCTCATTAGCGGGGTTTTTAGTTTTTGTGTGTTTTGTAGTGTGCTATGATTTAGGCTACATTTGGTGGTAGACCTCCCTTTTTTCGGTTAGTGAACCGGTTGTAATTTCGTGTTCATTTATAAAATTTATCATTTAAAAAAAATAAAAAATAAAAAATCTAAGGCGCCAGGATATGATTATTATCCCAACATCAATATGAACCTAATAAATGAGTTTACAAGAGCATATGTGAATTTTTAATTAAATTACTCAATCCACAAACTTACCAAACGACTGATTTCTTTATGGATGAATAATTATCCCAAGGATTTTCACGATCCACATAAGCTCCACAAACGTGCCTTTTGAAATTGATTCCTTGCGGAGAAAATTTAATTAGCCTCATAACTTTGGACGTATCAAAGTAATCTCCTCATAATTCAATTAACCGACAATAGTTTGTAAAGTAAAAATCGATTTTGGCTTACAACTTAATTGGACATGTTTGCATAACGTGACAATAATTTTCTGATAGACAGTATTCTTTTTCAGAAAATTTGGTTATCCCTTTAGAAAAAGTCCCTCTCTATCTAGAGTATTCTCGTTCCATTGTTTTGGATATGGTTCTTGTCTCTAGGTTTGGAGTGTTCCTTGATCTGCCGTATATGTTGGCTTTGTACCCTTTATTCCTCTCGGTGTCTATCTGTTTTGCGATCTATTAGGGCTTTCGTGGGTGGGTTTTTTAGGGTTTGTTCTGTTTATACATTGGTGCTAATTTAAGGTTTTTTCTTGCAGAGTTGGTAAATTTCTGAAGCATCTACAGCCTTAGTGAGAGCCTGATTAATCCTAAAGATGGATCCCGATATTATCGACAAGCTCCGAAAATTTGAGCTATCAGATAAGGAGAAATCGGGAATTGTGTTGTCCGAAGAAGATGCTGAACCAGGGGTTACGAAATGTGAAAGGAGTCTAATCGGTAAAGTAGTGGGAGAAAAACGAGCCAATCTGGGAGGGCTTAAAACTACAATGGGTATTGTATGAAGGACCCAAAAACCCTTTTTCGTTAGAGTGTTGGGACTGAACCTATTTCAATTTCTGTTTCAAGATGAGGAGGACAAAGTAAAGGTGTTGAAAGGAAGAGCATGGTCACTTGATGGACAGTACCTGCTGTTTAAAGAATGGAAGAAAAACGAGGTGGATTTCAAGAAAGAGGAGCTAAATGTGGAGTTGTGGGTTCAAATCCATAATCTCCCAATACATTGGATTTCTGAAGAAATAGGTGTGAAAGTGGGAAAGCTCTTTAGCAAAGTTAGTGATGTCCATATTCTTGGGGTTGGAGGTTTAAATGGAAGAATGGTGAAAATCCTTGCAGAAATAAACCTGGCAGAACCCATTATGAGAGGCACTATGTTGAAATTGGGGCAGGAGAAACAGTGGATTGATTCCAGGTATGAGAACCTGTTAACCTTCTGTTTCTATTACGGTAAAATAGGACATAATGACAGGCAATGTGAAATGAAGAAATCTGATGTTCAAAGGGGTGTGTTAAAGACTAGTCAATTTGGGGATTGGTTGAAAGGCATATCTGGGGGTTCTAATGAGTCTAGGGAAATTAGGTCTTCTAGCCCTAATAGTGTCAAGATAAATACTGCTTCTAGTCAAGCTAAAAAACATGTGGGTATGAATAAGAGTCCTAATATAGAAGAAGATCAGGTTGGTGCTAGTCTTAGTCTAGTTAGGAATCATGTAGAAAATCAGGAAAATGAAAATGAGCTTAACAAGGTAGTGTCTAGTGCAGTGCCTATAGTTCCTTCACCACCCACAGTGGAGAAGAGTGTAGATGTGAATAATGTGTCTGTCTTAGAAAAAATGGATCTTGATGTGAGGAGTGATCAAGGTGGCCTCACCACTCTTGTCAATATGCATGTCCAACAATGTCATGATCCATTGCCTGCTCTTAAGAAACCTAAAACTTTTGTGAGGATAAACAGAAATCAAGTTTCTGAAGGGAAAGAAGAATCTTCTATCCCCATACCTGTTTCTAATGTGGATCAATCTGTTTTTGTGAATCTTAAAAGAAAATCTGTTGATAAATTAGAAGTTGAGGCTAGTTAAAGTGTTTCTGAATCAAAAAAGCAAAAACTTTCTGAAATCCTATCTGAAAATTTGGTGGAGGCAACCAGCCTTAACTGGTCCCAAAGTTTAAAACGAGTTTTGGCGTGGAATTGTAGAGGTTTTGGAGGACCCTCTACAATTTTCCAGTTGAAGGCTCAGAAAAGAGTCTATCTCCCAAATTTTATATTTTTGTCTGAAACCAGGAAGAAAGCTGCTTTTGTTGAAACCGTTTGTAAAAATTTAAAAGTTGACAATAGGTGGGTAGTTGTTAATCCTGTAGGTAATAGCGGTAGTCTTTTGTTGTGTTGGGAGTCTTGTATTTCTGTTCTTGAAGTTGTGCAAAATCAATTCTGGCTGGAAGTGTGTTTTTTAAGGGATGGGGAGAGTGAGAAGATGTGGGCTACTTTTGTTTATGCTAGTGTGGATTCAACTGAGAGACAAAATCAGTGGAATATGTTGATTAGGCATCACTTAAGGTGGGGAAGTCTGTGGTTTATTGCAGGAGATTTTAATGACATTTTAAATAATAGTGAGAAGAATGGAGGTTTGGTCAGGGGGAGGCTAGTTTTCATAATTTTAGGAGATTCACTGAGGTTTTAAATCTAATGGATTGACCTGGTATAGGTCACCCTTTTACCTGGACTAATAATAGGGCAGGTGGTCAATTTGTTGAAGAAAAATTAGATAGGGTCTTTTTGTCTCCAGATTGGTTTTTGCTTTTCCAAAACACATCAGTGTTACATATCCCTTTAATTTCTTCTGATCATTGCCTGTCATTAATGGACACTGAGACTGAAGGGAAAAGATCAAAGAAGCGGTTTTTCTTTGATAGTAAATGGGTAAAGGCTGCAGGTTTTGAGGAATGTGTGAAAAAGGCATGGGATGTGAATGTTACAGGGCAAGAAATGTATAAATTTCTGAAAAAAATGAGGCAGGTAAGGGGTGGGTTGCTGAGATGGGCAGCCTTGCAATCTACAAACTCTGCAAAAATGATTGAGGAGTGCAATGCAAAGTTGGCAGTAATGGGGGTGCAAGGAGGACAAAGAGATTGGTGTGAGTGGAAGGAGTGCAAAGATAAAGTAAATCAGGCATACAAAGAAGAGGAAGTGTTTTAGAAACAGAAATCAAGAATAAGATGGCTCAATGAGGGTGATAGAAACACAAGCTTCTTTCAAGCTTGTGTTAAGCAGAGAAGGAGAGGAAATAGCCTAGATCATCATCTGAAAAGAAATGGGGAAAGGTGCAGAAACTCAGAGGAATCATTTACAGGAATTGTGGAATTCTTCAATCAGTTGTTTAGTTCTGAAAACCCAAGATGTGATACTCTGTGGGCTATGGATCCTAGCAAGGCACCAGATATTGATGGATTCTCTCCTTTTTTTTTTCAGCATGCTTGGCCTATTATTAAAAAAGATCTGTGTGAGGCTGTTTCTAATTTCTTCACTTCGTCTTGCATTCCTAAAGCCACAAACCATACTGTTATTACCCTCATACCCAAAGTTAAAAACCCTCAGAAAGTTTCAGATTTTAGGCCCATCAGCTTGTGTACTATAACTTATAGATTGATAGCAAAGATTCTAGCAAATAGGCTGAAGAATGTCCTACATGTGTGCATATCCCAATCACAAGCTGCTTTGTGCCAGATAGGCAAATTTTGGATAATATTATTATAGCTATGAGTGTATCCACTTCCTTAAAACCAATTCCAAAGGAAAAAAATGTTTCATGGCCCTCAAGCTTGATATGGCAAAAGCCTATGATAGAGTGGAGTGGAGCTTTTTGATTAAAGTCTGTAGACAGATGGGTGTGAGTGATATTTTTCTAGCCTGGGTTTGGTCTTGCCTTAGTTCTTCATCTTTTTCCTTTAATATTAATGGCCAAGCTATGGGTAGTGTTTTGCCTTCTAGGGGGTTGAGACAAGGAGACCCAATTTCACCATATTTGTTTATCATTGTGACTGAAGCTTTCTCTAACCTCATCAAACAAGCTATTTTGTTTTCATCTTCCAAAGGGCTGCAGATTAGTAAACATTCCCCTATTATCTCTCACTTGTTTTTTGCTGATGATTCTTTGCTTTCTTGTCAAGCTGATAAGCATCATACCTCTTTGGTTCTAAAAATCCTAAGGGATTACATTGAAGCCTCTGGACAAGCAGTAAATCTCCAAAAATCTAGCATATTTTTCTCAAGGAACACTCCTGAAACTCTGAAACTTGAAATCTCATAATTTGCATGGAATTGTGTTGGCTAAAAACTCTAGGTACCTGGGGCTACCTTTGGGTATAGGCAGAAATAAAAAAGACACTTTTTCTTTTGTTAAAGAGTGTGTGATGTTTAGAATATCAAATTGGAAGAATACTTTTCTTAGTGAGGCTGGGAGAGAGATTTTAGTGAAAACTGTGTTGAGTGCCCTTCCTATTTATGTCATGTCAGTGTTCAAAATTCCTAAGAGTGTGTATGATGGGATTTGTAAAGAAATAGCAGCTTTTTGGTGGGGAAAAAATGAAGTGGGTGGGAATAGAGTGCATTGGGCTAGTTGGAAAAAATTGGCTGAGGGTAAGTTAGAAGGAGGGATGGGTTTTAGAGAATTAGGTGATCTAAATGAGGCTCTGACGCTCAAGAAAATATAGAGGATGTTGACAAAGCCTAATACTCTCATGAGCATATTATTGGGAGGAAAATATTTAAAAAAAAATGGAAAATTCTAAAAAAGGCCAGGACTCCTGGATGTGGAAAAGCTGGCTAGATACCAGAAAGTTATTAGAAATTGGTATGGGATACCAAGTGGGGAATGGATGTTCAATCAGCATCTGGAATTCTCCTTGGCTTGCTAATGCTGAAAATTTCAAACCCCAGTGCTGTTTTGAAGAGGATAGAGCTAATCTGCACAAAGTCTCTGATTTAATGCTTGCAGGTGGAAAAGCTTGGGACAGGGAATTAATATTGCAAACTTTCAATCAAAGAGAGGCTAAGATGATCTTAAAAGTCCATATCAGTCAGACGGGACTAAAAGACAAACTCATTTGGCATACCCACAAAAAAGGTGTGTTCAATGTGAAAGAAGCTTACAAGGCAATCCAACAGAAACAAAAAGAACAAGAAGGTGGAATTGGGTCAAGCTCTGTGAATACAAGCAGTCAAAGGACATGGCACAACACCTGAAAATTGCAGGTGAAACCAAAGGTCAAGAACTTCATATGGAAATGCATGCATGGTTGGATGGGGACTGGATGTAAACTAAACTCGAAGGGTGTGAAAGTTGACCCTATTTGTTGTTGGTGTGGAAATAGCAAATATTATGTTTGTTTGATTTTTATGGACCATGTTGGTCACTTAGGAGCTTCCTCATTGGTTTGCCCTTCTTAGGCTTTCTTATTCTAGTTTTATCTAGTGTAAGGATTGTGCCTCAACCCGTTGGTTGTCGTATTGTACATGGTTTCTTGTTTTGATATAAAATTTGATGTTTGAAAAAAAAAAGACAATAATTTTCTGATCGAAATTCCAATGTCTCCAACCAAAATTGTTATAAAGTAAATTATTTTAAGAGTTACGAGAGTACTATTGATTAACTGGTATCTAACAAGACTGTTTTGATGCATTTTATAATTATGGGACTACTTGGCTATTTTTGGTAGATAAATAAGCTAGCTTATAGCTTATTTGGTTATCTTATAAGCTCCATGTATCTAAATAACCTTCGTTTGGTAGGACGAGCTTATATCATAAGCTTCTTTGGGTAGCTTTTCAAATAAGCTCGTTGAAATTTTTATTTCAACTAATTTTATCAAACATTTTTATCATATTAGCTAGCTCTTCAGATAAAAGTCATAAGCTATAAGATATAAGCTCAAAAATATTATGGAAAGTCACATTCTTCTTTTTTTTTTTTTTCGTCCTCCTCATAGTTTCTACTATTTCACAAACGAACGACTTGATCAGAAGAAAAAGTTGAGGTTCAATCTTCGACATGAATACTTTGAATGAGGCTCCCTGGAGTGCTCGCAGGATAGTGAGGGACCTATCAATATTGTACCAGTGTGGTTTATCCCGGGATATCAGTGCCCCCTTTATCCACGAATTGAGTAGGTGTTTGTTGTTCATTCTATTTTTTCGAACACTTTTTAGGTCGTTTTTAACATTTTTATTGCTTTTTGGCATAATCATACTTCAAGTGTTTCTAGGTCCCTTAAAAGGACTAGAAAGAGCAGGTCGCTCCTGCTATCGAGGTCTTCACTTGCGAAGTCCTGCCTGGGTAATCGCGAGGGGACGACCCATTAGTTTGCTTTTATCGATCTTTTTTTTGATGTACTTGTGTAAGATTTCAACCCTTTTTAGCTCGTGTTTTGGTGTATAGCTGCTTGATCATTTGTACTTACTGCTTAGCTCGTGATTTGTGGATGGTTTTTATAATATTACTCCTTGCATGCTCCAAGTATTTTACAACAAATGATATACATAAATTATCCCATATTAATCTCACATCTTTAATTTATAGTTATTATTTAATATTGTTTACCTACATCATTATTTTATAATTACTATTTAATATTATTTATCCGTGCAATGCAATGACTACGCACTAATTACAATTCTATGAGATTGAAATTATTACAATAAATTTCCAAAGTACAATTTCTTACAAAATCATTCACTTTCATAATATAATAGCATAAATGAAAACCCTATCTTTTGGTTGCAAATAAGAATTCAGCAAATATTTTAAAACCCATCCTTTTTTTTCTAAGCCATCCAAAAATTTATCGACTAAGTAAATATTATGTTTGTTTGATTTTTATGGACCATGTTGGTGTAACGCCCCGTTTTATTTTAAAGAATTTACCGAATTTATTTAATGAAAATCGAATCAGAGTTTTTTTTTCCAAGTTAAAACATTTATCGAGAAACGGGCGCTACTCATTAACAACAGCAAACAAACACATCCAATCAAATCAAATCAATGAACCTACACATGCTCGAGCTATCAAAAGGACAATCTCAATAATCATAATTTCAAAACCATTCCCAAACGACTAGCATGAAAGCAAGGTTCAAATGAAATTCAACACAGTTCGGAAAATGACGAAACAAATAATCCAAAGTGCAATAGCAAATAAATAAATATCGAGTTTATACGGAAGCATAGGTTTTCAACACATAATGACCACCATCTCGCTTGTCCTACGCCACCGCCTCCAACTCGTCTCAACCTAGAACAAAGGAAGAGAGAAGACAACAAGAAAATAATGGGGGTGAGTAACCAACTAGCTCACCATTATCGCACAGTTATCTCGTATAATTATTTTTAAAAGCAGTTTCATAGTAAAACAATATCAGTATCCGTATGCATAGAATTCATAGCCTAAACCCCCTACCCGGCCCTATCGCAAACCTCCTATGTACATACAACAACCTTCCGGATACAACGGCATGGCTGTAACTGGAAAATTTCCCCCACCCCGAACTACTCACGGATCATGGGAGTCCACCCCGAACTACTCGCGGATCATGGATGTTTTCCAGGAGACAGTGGAGATGTTTTTCCCCCCCGAAACTCACACGATTCAGGGCGTCTCCTCCCGGATACAACGGGCAGGTGACCTCTCACTGTTATGCATTCGTCAAAGGCACTATCGTTCGGGACACTTAGACTAGAGTTCTCATGCATACAATAATTTTCAAAAGAAACATTACAAGAAATAATAAATGCGATAAATATGGAATACATCATAAATGTACCCACCTGATAGCAGCAACAGTTCACAGAATCACAAATCCAGAAACGAGGCGAGGTCAACACCTCTTAAACACCTACATTATGACAAGATCCTACAATCAGAATCTATCTCGACTTAAAACGGAAATCACAAGACAGACCTAGTCGAACTCGTTTCGACTAAGTAGTTCGTGAAGTCCTGTGGATGTTGGAACACTAAAACTCGGCTCTAAACTCAACCAAACCACATAAGGGAGTTCACACAAATCCATCCAAGGATTGACCAAGTCAACTCACATAAAAAACGAAAAAAAAGCAAGTCGATATCCAAATTTCATATAAAAATCATGTTCGGAAATAGAAATCATTTAATCGCATGAAAATAGATGGTCAAGCTACCCTATGAATTAAGCTCTGAAAATTTACCCAAATTTTTATCTCCTAGAAACATGTAAAACCACAAAGTTTCAACTTTAAACTTGAATTACACTAATTTATAAAATTCGAACAAGATATCAGCAAAATTGGAACATTAATTCATACTCGGACTTAATGAATAAATCTGAACTTGAAAATTTTACACAACAACCTACAGCAATTTAAAGTTCATGTATAAAAATGTCAGCCTTAAATAATAGCTGCTGCTATTTTTAAAAATTCATACGTGCAACAGCAGTTTATCGAATTTAAATCCAAACTGAATCAAAATAGACTCCAAAAATTCCCTTCTTTTGCATACATGATTAAACATATAAAAATTCAAACAACGTTTCTGCAGATTCAATAAATAAAATATTAACCACATCAAATCAACTCCAAAAATTCTAAAAATTTAACACAACATATATAAGTCACAGAGGCACGACATATTCGAATTGCAGCTCATTTCATTTAGGAATGAATGTTTTATGCATTTAACATTATTCTGGACAGATTACAATTTAATTATAAAGAAATAGCTACAGGCCTCTAAAAATTACGAAACTTTTACACAAGGCAGGCAATGAACAGATAACACATCCCTCAAAATTTCAAATCGTTTCGAGCAGCGAGCTATTTTTAAAAATTCAAACACCGAAACAGCGATTCACAAGCTCGACAACTTGGCAATTAAATCACAACATAAACTTTCTCGTCCGAGGCCTTTTCATAAGACCAAGGACTCGACATTGTTCCAATATCCACCGACTTACACGAATTTCGAGGTCTCGTTCGATTTTTGAGAAAATGGAAGAGATCCCGAACATACGAACACATAAAAATCACAGCATTACATATATTCGCACATATTCACCTCCATAAATTCACACATATATAACACGAGTACTTCACGAAAATGAACATTCAACGAAATAAATCACATACAAATAAAACGAGACGAAAAAACGATGAGGTACCGTTCTCGGGAATAACTCGAAAACGTCACGAACACGAACGGCTCGACGGTAAACTCGTCTCGCCGGAAAAAAAGTCTCTTCGCACGAGGAGGAGAGAGGTCGCTACTGCTGGTTCACGAGCTCGTCGGGATGGTCACCGGACGTCGCTGCTCGGAGAATTATCGAGCTCGCCGAAAAAACACAAACAGCGATCGGAGAAGACAGCTTCACGGCGCGGCGGGAAGAGGTCGCGGCGCGGCGGGACTCTGGTCGCGGCGTGGTAGTGCGACGCGGCGTGGAGGAGGTTTCAGTCGCGGCGTGATGGTGCGACGTGAAGGTTCAGCGAGTCGGAACTGCAACTTGGCCGCCGGACTGGTTCAGGGTCGCCGGAAAAAGGCCTTGCCACTGGTTCACGCGAACAGGGGCGACGGAGATGGTGATGAAGACGATCGACGAGGGTGATGATGACGAGCGTGAGGATGATGATGGTTGATGAAGGAAAATCGCGAGGATGATGAAGGAGAGATGACGATGGGACGTTGATGAAGGATGATCAAAAATCACAGAGAGAAAAGGAACAATTTGCGATCGATTTTTCTGTGAAACGAAAAAAGACAATGATGAAGAGAGAGCATTGAAAACTCAAACGTTTTGAAATGACGGGACAACATAAAACCGCGAACCAAATCATTATTTAAGAGGCTGCTACTGAACATCAGATCGAGCGAGAAATAAAGGGCTGAGATCTGATATATATATATATATATATATATATATATATATATATATATATATATTCATATTTTTAAATACACATTAATAGTTAAATATATCACAACAATCAATTAGACAATTACACATTTAGCATTTAATCACATTTGACAATTAATAAATATCATGGCAATCAAGAAAAATAAATATAAATATTATCACAAAAATAACAATAATAATAATAATAACAATAAAAATAATAATAATATACCCCAAATAATCCAAAATTAAACAGGGCATTACAGTCTACCCTCCTTAAACGATTTCCGTCCCCGGAAATCCAAAAAAAAATCATCCAACAGGACAACTGACACACGAGAGAAGCTTAAACCACTCAATTCGGATACTCCGTCCGAACCTCCCACTCTACCAAGTC